AAAAGTTGTGACTTGTCCAGTATAGTGCAGCTAGCATGTATTAAGAGAGAATTCAAGCCCAGTTCTTTCTAGCTACTGCCTCACCTAATTACCTCATATGTGGAAGTAGTGTCACCTAAATTTGACCATCAAGGCCACTGAAGGTTAGGAGTCACCTCTTACACTGGTATATCTCCTATGTTGCACATGGTACGTATCCAAGAAATCCTGCTCTGATCTCCCAAGACCAATCACAAGCTTTTCCCCTTGGGCACCTTCATGTAGTCAGAAGAGCATTGAATTTGAAGTCAAAAGACATGAGTTTCCCCACTCTACTACTTAATAGTAGTGTGACCTTGAACAAGGCACCTCCATTCTTGAGGGCTCAGCTTTTCATGTATAAAGTGAGATGGTTTGACTAAATGATTCTTAAGGCCTCTTCTAGTTCTGTATCTCTTGAAATTTTGTTGCTTTGCAACTTTCCCATTAATTTATCCTATAATATTATGAAATACTCTACAAAAGACTTCTTTTGATGCCTCATCATCACTCCAGGTGCTTTGTAGCTTGACCAGCAGATCACAAGCCCTGGAAAATTTTTAACATGCTGGGCCAGTTTCCCATATGAGCAAAACGATGGACACTAGGTGTGTATATGTTGTCCAAGGTCCAGACTAGCTAAGTCAAGATATGTTTATCACCTAGTTGGCTGCAGGGGGATGAATTTTTTCAGTCACAGCTCTCCAACACCATCTACCAAGCTGCTGAATGTCTATGATCTCCACTGGTAGAGGGAATGTCCTAGCCAGTAAGGTCACAGATCCTCGAAATTTTGAAGTGTGTGTTTCATAACCAGACTATAAACTTCATGAGCAGCAAGGGCCAAATCTGATCTAAACCTCTATCACCCTCAGAACCTAACATTATGCTGTAAAACAAATGTTTGTTGAATTACTGAATGAATGTTCACTGACAGATGTGGTTTTACAAAAGGAAAAAGCATGTACTGATGTCTACTTTTCCTCAAGTCACCCCAGCTGCCTTTTTCTTCTCCTTCCACTTGGATTACAGACTTGCTGAAGTCCACCTCTCTGAACTCCCAGAATGCACTTCACTTATCTATTCTGTTGTCTCTACTCTCAGTACAGCATTACCTGGTTGGTCTGACCCAGGACCACATATCTATGGAAATAGATTATGGGTGGTAATCAATCCATAGATGATACCTGCTACCCCCTCAATGGTACTTCCATTTTCTTTAAAAGGAACTTTGGAGATGAAAGTGACCTTAGAAATCATCCAGTCTAACTGCCTCATTTTGAAGATGGGTACTCTTTGGGGGCACCTTCAGATTCTTCCTGGCATTTTGACATAATCCATTCATTCAATCTGGAAGGACCAGAAATTGTGCCTATGATAAAAGATGAAATGTACCATATCATCTCTCCATCTTTTCTGATCAGGTCAAAAGGCATTTTATCAACCTTCAAACTCAGACTAAATAATAGAACTGTCCCCAAAGCCATCCTGCTCATCCATCTCCCATTACAAAATGCTCTCAAACTGCCACTGAGCCAACATGGTCTATTTCAAAATTCTCTTGTCCCAGCATAGACAGAGTTTTAACTAGTCCATTTCTCAAATCTGTTAAATTCAATGCAATGCAATTCAATGCTTACTAAGAAGTATTTCATGTCTAAGGCACTACGCTGGAGGAAAACAAAAAACAAAAAAACAAAACAATCCTTGCCCTCAAGATGCATACATTCCACATGAGAGATACAGCATGTATAGGTAATACAAAATATATACAAAGTTCTATAAGGTAATTTTAAGAGGGAAGCAATAGCTAAACAATTCTTTAAAGGAAGAGAGGGATTCTAAGAGGTGGCGACAAGGAGGTAACAAATTCTAGACACAGCAAAGTATAAAGAAAGGCATGGAGGCAAGAGATGGAATTTTGCATAGAGAGACAGCCACTATGCCAGTCTGATGAGGTCAGAGCATGTGAAGGGGAGTAATATGAAAGAGCACCAGATCTCAGCAAATTTGTGGGAGAAAAAAGGCTCCTTTCAGCACCTCCAGCTGCCTGTTAGCTCGTTCCCCTTTTTCTCTTTTGATGACGCCTCGATTTCTTCAAGCATCCAAGGATCCATACTCTTTCCCCCATGCCCTCTCTAACAGGCAAAGGAATTGTTAAAAATCATTCAATTTAATCTGATGCACTGCATGAGAACTTAAAGCATTACCCCTCCCAAGAAGATGTGCATTTGAACCCTGATCAGAACCTTAAGGCAAAGAAAACGGAGGGGGAACCAGACTCCCAGTATCCCTGAAAGCAAAAGACAGTTTGCTGCCTATTCTGTCCATGGGTAACATCAGCCCTTTGGGATCCATCACCATTAATACACAGGTATAGGGGAAAGCTAAGAAATGCTCTCTTGGGTGACATGAGGGAAGGAGAATTTAGCACCCTAAAAACAAAAACAAAAAAGCTGTTCTCATCACCCTACCAGCCCTTGACCTTCCTCTCCCTTCCAGCCTGCCAGTACGCTCAGATGAAACTTGAAAGCAAACCGGCTGGGGCTGCTTCAGTCTCAATGCCACAGTGCTTACAAACTGTATGTGCAGGGAATTTGTCACATTTTTCTCTACCTCGTGACATTCCAGCAGCCTAGACAGCTTCATAATGTTGCAAGTGGGTGAGTTTTTACTCGCTCCCTTTCTATTTCCCTGAGAGCCACGCAAACAGCAGGAGCAGCAGTAGCCACCGGGCAAAGGTCAGAGGGGCCCCGATGGCAGTTCCGGAAATTCTGCTGCTCACACTTGGGGTGCTGCCAGCCAGAACAGAGAGAGGCGATAGGGGCCAGGCCCACTGTGCCCCTCCCAGGATCTCAACATACACAAAAGCCCCCATGACGCATCTGAGAGAGAGATCTGGAGAAGTGACCTTGGAGGGTCAGTGGAGCCCAGAGCTGTGCCAACAAGTATGAGAACTCACAATTAGTCCATGGACGCCCGCCATTCACTGTTTTATGTGCTATCTCATCAAAACATATGCATTTTCAATAGCCGGGTTTAAAGGCCCACTTGTTGCAATACATTATATCCCAGACTCCTACAGGTTTTGAATTGTACAAATACAAAAGTGGGGTATTGAGAAAAATCTGGCCCTGAGAATTTCAATTGTTCTGGGTGGGCATTTGCCTTGGTGCCCTGGTGCCCAAAACCTCCAAGTGGTCAGTGGCTTGAATGTCACTAAGCAATGTGACAAAGCGAAGGACAAACATGGGGTAGCCCACGGTGCTCTGGGAAATGAAAATCCTTTTGTTGTCCAGCTGGAAGGTCAAAAATTGCCATTTGAGATTGCCTAGACTAGCACAGAGTCCACCCCCGTAAAGGTGACAGCATTTGGGAAGGAAGTCAGCAGCACTGCCATTGACAAGTCATGCCATTGTGAAGGAGGCCCAGGAAGCAAGAGCTCCGGGTTCCCCAAACAGATCCCATTGTGATTGGGCAAGAGAATTATAGAATGTCAAAGCTAGAAGGGACACTAGAGGTCATCCAGTCTAACCCCCTCATTTTATGGGTGAGGAAACTGAGGCCTAGAGAGTCTTGCCCAAGGTCACACAGCTAGCTAATAGCGGTCTGCTCTGAAAAGGGTATTTATTCAGAAGGCCTTCAATCTCTACATAGTCTGATAAACATCTAGTGCCAGGAGGTACCCAAGGACATGGGGGGGGGGGTGGAAAGGAGGAGGGGGAATGGGGAAGGAAGAGAGATTCCTATAGCAATAGGACTGTTTCACGTTCCAAACCTTCATTTATTCACTTTGGGGAGTGGGGAGGAACCATATGAGCTCTGATTGATCTCTAAGTTCTTTCTGGCTAAGTAGGAAGAAAAGATGGTCCTCAAGAGTACCCTGGTAAAATACAAATACCGCTGGGAAGGGCCTCACCTTAAGCAGGGGTAAAGCTATTATAGTCCTTAGGTAATACTTTATAAAAGATTAGCATGAATAGGAAAGAGAAAAGGGAGATGGGATAAAGAGAGTCAGGGTCAGGAGTTAGGAGGTGGGGCAGAATAAAAAAACAAATCTCCCCTACTTCATAATTTTGCCAAGGGCTCTAGCACTAGCATTTAGACAAGTGTCTCTGTATAGTTGCAAGCCACTCAAAAGTGTTTGTATGCCAACTGCTGGCCTGAATCACTACTAAATATTTTTTACTCCTTTCTACCTGGAAAGGATGGATAGTAATTTTGCAATTTGTCAATGACCCATGGGATTTTTTTTTGGACCAGTTCTATGATTTAATTGGTATGAAAAATTCTCAATGCAGATTGGCACCTGTTCTGCAAATGTATACCTTACAAGAGTTGCCTGGGGCACTGTGAGATGGAGTGATTTGTCCAGGGTCACAGAGCCTGTATTTTTCAGAGGCAGATCTTGAATGGAGGCCTTCCTTGGAAAGACAGCACGGCAGAATGGATAGGGTGTTGTCAGGAAAGACACAAATCCATTTCAAATACTATCTCTGTGACCCTCAGCAAGACATGTAAGCTCTCATGTTTGCCCCACTTCCTTCATCTCTAAAATCCAGTGGTTGAACTTGGTAATCTCTAAGATCCCTCTCAGCTCTAAATCTATGCTATGAAGAGTCCCGTGTCTAAGGTTGGTTTTCTATCCACAATGACAATCTGCCTCACAGGATGTACTTTTTATTCTAGCCTGTAAAATGAAGGAGTTCAGACTAAACCGGAGTTCTTACATAATTTTTTTTCTTTTTTTATGGCTTAGTTTTTATTTCATAATCATAAACTTAACTGCAAACTAACCAGACTTGTATAAGAAAACAAAGAGAATTGCAGCAAATAGGTGCACAAGGATTACAGAATAAGAGGGAGAGGAATCCCCCCAGATATAAAAGAGTGATTTTGTGGTTAAAACAAAAATAAAGCCAAAAAACTCATGAGACTTGTCCACAATCAGCAATGGTGATCCTTTTGTTGGTCTTGCCAACTCAAGACCCAAAAGTCTCCACGGATTCCATGACCTTCATGTCTTCTTTCACCTGGTCAAAGGCAACATGCTTGCCATCCAACCAGTTAGTGTTAGTGACAAAGATGAAAAACTGGGAATCATTTGTGTTGGGTTCAGCATTTACCATGGACAAAATCCTAGAACCAGTGTGCGTCAGGATGAAGTTCTCATTAGCAAATTTCTCTCCATAGATGAACTCACTGTCAGTGCCATTATGGCACATGAAGGCAGCACCCTGGCACATGAACCCAGGAATGATTCTGTGAAAGCAGAACTAAAGGCATTTGTTCTCTCCAGTGCTCAGAGCACAGAAGTTCTCGGCTGTCTCTGGAACCTTAACTGCCAATTGCTCAAAAGTAACTCAGCCTGGGGTTTGTTATCAGTGGCCATGTTGAAGTATGTTTTGGCGTTGGCCATAGTCACAAATGGCTGGGCTGGTGATGACGGTTAAGGCAGCAGTGGCAGAGGCTACTATCTGGTGAACCGAGCAAGCCGACATCTCCCAGTAGTGGTGCATTCAAAGTAGACAGTAATTGTATTTCAATATAGTTGGTTTTGTTTGTAATTCTATGGATATCATTTTATGCATTTAAAAATATTGCTCTGAGAAGAGGTCTGTAGGCTTTACCAGCCTGCCAAAGGGGTCCACAATAGGCAAAAAAAGGTTAAGAACTATGAACTAGATGATTTCTGAAGGTGTTTTATACCTCCAAATCTATGATCCTATATAATATAGAGCATGATAAGTATATGATATGGGTACAAAGTTCTTTGACAGTTAAAAGGAGAGAAAAACCACATCTGATTCTGGGGATAGAAGGAATTATGTAAGTTTTCATGGATGAGATGTTACTTATGCTTCAAAAACAGGCAGGATTTCAACAGACAGAGATTGGCATGGGGAGGTGGGGTGAAGGACAGGGGAATGGAATTCATTTCTAATATAGGGAGCCAAATGGATCAAATGGTATATGAAATGGAGTACTGTAAATAAGCTAAAACTAGAAAAATAGGTTAAAACTAACTACAGAAAGCCTAAAATGTCAAACTAAGGAATTAGATTTTATTCAAGAAATTGACATGATCAGATCTAGCATTAGAAAGATTCTTCTGATTGTAACCTTTAGGATGTATCAGAGAGGGAAACACTCAGGTTAAGGTTAAGAGACTACTGCATTCATTAGTCCAGGGGAAAGGTCAGCAGGAGAAAGGTAGCATGGCCAAGTGGAGAAATAACTAGCCTGTGCCAGAATGGCCTGAGTTCAGGGCCTGTCTCTAACCCGTACTGGCTGCATGACCCCTGGACAAGTCACTTACCCTCTCAGGATCCTAGGCAACTCTGTAACACTAAAAGGTGCACAGGCCGCTTATCTGAATGAGTTTCCTCACCAGGGACTTCCCAACATAATAGTAGAGCATTGGGTGAAGTAACAGCAACCTGTACTGGGATAATAGCACTGAAAATGAGGAGCTGGGACAGCTATTTTGGAGAAAGAACCCACAGGATTTAGCAGCAGATTGGATATTTACAGGAGTGAAGTAGAGGGAGAAGTCAAAGATGACTACAGTTAAATACTTACAACAATAAAACCCAAGGCACTATTTAATTCTATTAAATCCACTCTGTAGTCAACAAGTGAAAAGGTTACATGATTTGCTCAGTATAGGACAGCAATACATAGGATTAAACTCCAAGATCCTAAATTTCCAGTCTACTATTTGGCCTCTAGACCCTACTGACTAACTTCCTCTGATGCTCAAGTCACTACCTGAATGTTATTTGAATGTATGTTAGGTTCGCTGTATGTTATATGAAATCACAGAATATGGCAAGGGAAGGATGAAGGCAATAAGATGGCAGGACGGGAAGTTCAAGTTCACTAACGTTTTCTCCTCCTCCGACTATCAAGAAGGAACTAAAAGTGGATTGAAAAATTCCTTGAAGAATTTAACTTCAGTGAAGAGATAACAAACTTCTTTAGAGAAAGTTCAAATGGACCAATAATTAACACTGAAGAAGCACAACTGAAAACCAGCTATTTGAGCCAACATCTCTCTTTGCAACCTCTCCCATGGAAGCCTCCAGAACCCCTAACATCGCTTTCTCCAGCCTACCTTCCTGAAGAATGAGAAATTAAACATGAGATGGAATCCAAAAGAAAGAATAAAATGTAAAAGGACAAAGAAAGAAGAAAACAGTCACCCTGCCACAGTTAGGACTCACCTGATTCAAAGGAGGCTTTCCATTGCCAAACTAATCATGGAGACATTGTGATCCTATCTTCAAAAGCCAGGCATGATGGTACATACCTATACTCTCTGCAACAAGGGGAGGTTCAGGCTGATGGATCACTCGAGGTCAGGAGTTCTGAGATGCAGTTGGATGAAATCAAACTGGGTATGTGCACTAAGCCCAGTACCAATGTGGTTAGCCCTTAGGGAGCAGGCTGCCTAGAGAGGGGTAAACCAGCCCAAACTGGAAACAGAGTGGGTCAAAATTTCCATGCTGATCAGCAGTGGGGATGGGCCTCCAAGCAGCTACTGTACTTCCAGTCTGAGCAAGACAAGGAGACCCAGTCTCAGAGAGAGAGAGAAAGAGAGAGAGAGAAAGAGAGACAGAAAGAGAGAGATCAAAAAGTAGAAAGCAAAAAGACTAACTACAGACCTGGGACTATTCAAATGTTCAGGCTTGGAAATATTTCCTCCATAAAACTTTCCCTCATTCTCCTTCCCCTAGTCTGACATTCTATAATACTTTGTTTTGTAACTCTGTAATACATTTATTATATAATAGCATATATTTTAATTATCTGTTTATGATCTACTAAACCAAGAACTCAACTTTTTTTTGGTCACAGACTGCCATGACAGAATGGTGAAGCCTATGGGCCCCTTCCCAGAACAATATCTTTAAATTCACAAAATGAAATACATAAGATTACAAAGGAAATCTATTATATTTAAGTGTAGCTATCAAAATATTTTTTAAAACCAAGTTCACAGACTTTGGGTAAAGAACCCTTGTACCACACTCCTAGCTCCATGAGGGCAGGGATCTATCTTATCTGAATTTTTTCCCCAAGCACCTAACACACTGCTCTATGAAAAAGATTGAACAAATATTTGTTAAGTGAATCAATCCATGAATCGATGTTGAATGCCTTTATCAATCAACCAATCAATCGTCAAGAAGTTGTTAAGCACCAACTCTTTGCCAGCCATCATATTATGTGTTGGCGATGTAAAGACAAAAGTGAAACAATCCCTGAGTTCAAGAAGACTTTACATTCTACAGAGAGAGAGACAAGATATGCATATAAACCAGAAATATAAAATAGCTACAATGTGATTTTAGGTGGAGGTACTCACAGCCAAGAGGATCAGGAAAGACCTTCTTCAGAAGGTGGTATCTAAGCTGAGTCTTCGAGACTAGAGATTACAAGGCCGGAGGTGAAGAGGAGATGATTCCAAATATGGGGGACAGTCAATGTAAAGACACGGAGGAGAAAAACGGAGGGTCATGTATGAGGAAGAGTAAAAAATCCAGTTAGTAAGTATATAAACAGGTCAAAACTAACGTAAGTATGACTGACCTACTGTCCGTAATTTAGGCTCATTTTGGAGGGCAATGAGGTAGCTATTCCACCAAGAACTACACACAGCCATTTTAAATCCATTTTAAAAGTCCAAACAAAGCTCCCAAGTGGGAGTTTTCCATTATGTCAAAGGAATCTAATTACCCAAATTGGAATTCTCTCTGGACACAGTGTTCCCTTGGCATGAAGCACCAGGGGTATGATAGATGGTAATTAGGTATGGAATGATGGTAAAGGAAAGAAAGTGATCTGAGCCTCTGTTTTATGGCTTCCTCATCACTTTGCTGACTCTAAATTCAACCGAAGGATTATCAGGATCTCTTCTCCCTACTTCAACCAGATTAACATACTTACCAAATTCCTAAGGTAATCTCCTAAAGACAACAATTGGGCATGGTCGCCAAGCTGCAACACTCCTGCACTCCTTTTTACTTGATAACTTGTCAGCAGAATGACCTAGCTTCATATATTTTTGCCTAGCCTCTTCCTGGCTTTGCCCTTGGCCTCTCACTTCTAATTTTGCTCATTCATCTTGATCTTGTCCAAGGATCTCAGTTCATTCGTGGTTTCCATACTTGCCTGCTTGAATTAATGTTTTCAGTTCTCTACCCAACTTCCTACCTACTCCATCTGGTTTCTTACTGACAACTAGCTTCATACAGGGACTCTCTGAAATCCCTAGTCTTGACCTGATGATTAGCTTCTTATCTTCCATCAAAGTTTCAATTCAATTCCATTAAAGTATTTATTAATGAATTGTGCTAAATGCTAGAGATATTAAAATGTTTAAACTAAAAAGACATAGTCCCTGCCTTCAAGGATCTTCTAGTTGGGGATGGAGAACAGTGAAAAGACATGTCTGTCTATATTTAGCCGTAATTTAAGTTACAAAGGATTAAGCGTTTAAGAGAAGTCAGACAGACAGAAGAAATTTAAGGTCACCCATGATGGGCTTTGAACAAAGTTAAGGATTTGAACAGATAGAAATGATGGCGAGAATCCATCCCACGCACAAGGAACCATGCAAACATACTGAGGTAGGCCAACAGGGAGCGGCAATAATCCAATTTGGCTGGAGTATAGTACATGCAAAAGATAAGTAATATGAAATAAGCATAGAAAGTTAAGTTGGAATCTTTGTAGAAGGCCTTTAATGCTCTTCACACTCTATTTCATTCAGTAGGCACCAAGGATTTTTGAGCCAGGGGAGGGGCATAGCTAGGCATGTGCATTAGAAAGATTATTTTGGAAGTGATGTAGACAAAGTAGACGATAAAGGTAGAGAGAATGGAGGTAAGGAAATCAGTTAGGATTCTCCTGCAATTGTCTAGGCTAAAAGACCTAGGCTCTGACACTGCTGCTATCACAGGCAGATCTTGGGCTGTCCATACCCTAGGATTGGCAACTGGCCTGGAAAGAAGCATGTCAGAAGCTCCTGAGCTGAAGATAAGACCTTTATCAGCTGCCTTGTCAACAGTGTCTCCTGCTTACCATCCTGACTGCTTTCTGCTTTGTCTTGACTCCTTGTATTTGTGTCTTACCTTGCTCTTGATGATTTGCCTAGTTTCTGACACACTGTGTTTCACCTTTGGACTTGTACATTCTCCAATTTGGGGTTGCTTACTTGGTTTTAAGCTTACAGTCTTAT